CTGTGAGGGGACAATGCCCCATAATGAGCTTCCCACCCTGCTTCCTGTAACATGCAGGGTGGCAGACAAAGGTTACCTGAGCACACAACACCAGCATCTTCTCCGTGGTTACAGTTATTGTCTCCCCAAGGCCGAGCCCTGCATTCGGTGAGGGCAGATTCTGTCCCTGTGCAGCGAACATCATCCAGCCAGATACGGTCTGATCCTCCCCCAAATCGAGCCCCTCCTGGGGCTGATAATGCCGTCCCACAGCCCAGCTCCCTGCAGACGACTCCAGCATCACTTATGTCCCAGCTGTCATCACACACAGATCCCCACTGCTCGTTGTAAAGCACCTCGACTCTCCCAGCGCAGCGACTCGGGCCGTTCACCAGTCGGAGCTGATCCACTTCAGAAATTCCTAAGTCTGCAAAGACCCAAGGGAATAAACACTCAGGGAGGTTCCTGTGCATCTGATCACTAGTGACACTGGTAAACGTGGAGCCTCCCACTGACGGGTCTGAACAGCCTCTGCAACAGACTGTTAGGGGTTCACTCCCTGTCAATTTATATTATTACAGTTCAAGCTGTTTTATCCGGCATGTTGGGAGTATGAGGGGTGCCGGTAAATGAAAAATGCAGGTTAACTAAGAGGGAGAAAGTTTGGAGCAGGAGAGGGTTGGGGCAGGCAGTTGGGGCGCAGTATCGGGTGTGGGGTGCTGGATCCGGGGGCCACTCACCCCAGGTGTCTCCCCATAAGAGGTAACTTTTCCTGGCTGCTCCTATTGGGAGGCGTGGCAGGGGGCTTGGCGCGTTCTCTCTGCCCACAGGCATTGCCCGCGCAGCTCCTGTTGGCCATGGTTCACAGCCAAAGGGAGCTGTGCGGCTGGCACTGGGCTGGGGCAGCACGCAGAGCCGCCTGACGTGCCTCCACTTAGGAGTACCCAGAGCCCGGGACAGGTCGCCACTTGCGGGGAGCCATCCAAGGTGAGCAGCCCCCGGATCCAACACCCCGCACCCCCTTTCATGTACTAAGCCCCCTCCCACACTCAAAGTTCCTCCCAGAGCCCTTGCTCTGCACCCCCTCCTGTGCCCCAACCCTCTGCCGGCCCTGCACCAACTGGACTATAAACCGGCATTTCAATGAAGATCAGAAATGCCGATTTATAGAGCTTTCCAGTTGGTGAAGTGTCGGATAAAACAGTTTTTACCGTATTTTGGATTACAAATATTTGCACTGTAAAAATGGTAAAAGAAATAGTATTTTTCAATTCACCTCATACAAGTACTGTGGTGCAATCTCTTTATTGTGAAAGTGCAATTTACAAATTAGATTGTTTTTTGTTACATAACTGCACTCAGGAAAAAAAAAACGTAGAGCCTACACATTCTCTCAGTCTTACTTCTTGTTCAGCCAATCACTCAGACAAACAAGTTTGTTTACATTTATGGGAGATAATGCTGCCTGTTCTTATTTGCAATGTCACCCAAAAGTGAGAAGATGCGTTCGCGTGGCACTTTTGCAGGTGGCATTGCAAGGTATTTACGTGCCAGATATGCTAAACATTCATATCCTCCTTCATGCTTCGGCCACCACTCCAGACGACATGCTTCCATGCTGATGATCCTCATTAAAATGTAATGTGTTATACTCTGTATAAGATTTATACAGAGTAAAACGGATTTGTTTGGTGTTTGGATCCCATTGGGAGCTGCATGTCTGGGTGCTAGAGACAGGAGCACTTATCAGTTAAGAATGCAGCTTTGGGGGCATGGGTCATACCATGGGTCTGCGTTGCAGCAGGTTACCATATCTGTCTCAACAAGACAGGGCTCTGGAGGCCCAAACTGGCAGAGAAAATGGGCTCAGAGGTAGTCTCAGCACATCAGGTGACAGTCCCAAGGAGGCTTCTGTAACCAAACCCATCACATTGGTATTTGCTCCAGTGGGATACTGTGCAGTGTTGGGGGTAGACACTGTCATAACCATCTTGGTGACTGGGAGCTGATCACAGTCACCCATGTCATTAGAGGTTGCCTTAGCCTGACATCATAGAATCATAGAATATCAGGGTTGGAAGGGACCTCAGGAGGTCATCTAGTCCAACCCCCTGCTCAAAGCAGGACCTAATCCCCAACTAAATCATCCCAGCCAGGGCTTTGTCAAGCCTGACCTTAAAAACCTCTAAGGAAGGAGATTCCACCACCTCCCTAGGTAACCCATTCCAGTGCTTCACCACCATCCTACTGAAAAAGTTTTTCCTAATATCCAACCTAAACCTCCCCAACTGCAACTTGAGACCATTACTCCTTGTTCTGTCATCAGGTACCACTGAGAACAGTCTAGATCCATCCTCTTTGGAATCCCCTTTCAGGTAGTTGAAAGCAGCTATCAAATCCCCCCTCAGTCTTCTCTTCTGCAGACTAAAATCGACATTAGCATCGAATTACATGTGCTGGCTCCATAGCTCCCTGAAAACATCACCCAGAGTCCATCCCTCTTAGAACTGCCTGGAGCGCAGGGACGCCTGGCAGGAACCTGCTGCGCACCAGGCTGACAACGGTTCTGACCAGTGCAGAGGCAATGCACACTTCCTACAAGCAGATCGGCCCCATCCTGAAGCAAACACTGGACTGGCCAGAGGGACTGCTGCAATGCAGAGATTTGGCTTAGCCCCATCTCTCAGTGTGCCTGTGGGGCAGCAATAAAGGTAGTCACATGTGGTGGAGGAGATCCCCGTTGGAAGACTGGACCTTGAGGATGCACAGTCAGATGGCTGAACAAGCTAGATGGAAGCAAGGTCTGTATGAGCTCTCCCTTGACAACTAGTGATGAGCTGGGGAGGGGGAAAGGTTTCAGAACCAGACTGTGTTTACAAGAACACACTCACTCTGCCTAGGTATCCAGCAGACAGAGCTGTGTTGGCTGGTGCTGGGTTACAAATCACTGTAGTACTTCAATGCAGGGGTAGTGAAATGTTATTGTCCTGATTGTCTGAGTAAAGGGCAGCAGAACTGTGCTTAGCCTGCCCTGACTGAAGGGGTCACCCACAACTGAACTGAACTCACTAACCAGGGGGGTCAGATACCAGACCCCTATCAAGAGTGACAGGGGGTGGAGATGGGTGTTCCTGCTGAGGGGCGTGGGCTCTGTGTAAGGGGTCTAGACATGGTTTAATCTGCCCCTCACCACTCTTCAAAAATAGTTAATTAAAGCTCCATTAGGAGTCGTTTTGGATTAAGTGATCACTAGAGCTGAAATCACCTGCCGTGAGACAGTGTTTTCGCCCAGCCTGCTTCAGCACTGAGGGTTCCCCACTAAGAGCTGACAGTCACTGAGAGCTGCGTGGAGCCTCAAGAGAGTGACCTGCAGAGGTCACAGTGGAGAGGCCCGGGACATGTAGCCTGGGGTAGGACAGGGTAGCTGAGAAACAGGACAGGGAAATATGTAGGCTGTGTAGGACTGGAAGTGAGGAAGAATTTTGTCTCCTGTGTCCAGCCTGTGGAAGCTGCAGTTACCCAGGTCCCCATTGTGCCGCAGAGGTGTCCAGCACAGGGATGCCTAGAGTTATACAGGGATCCCCTGGGTGAGATATATGCACAATAGCTCACCATAGGTGGTATGTGAGGTCTCTACCAAGAGCCAGCAGCCCACTCGTCACCCTAATGGGGGCAAGATGTTTTGATGGGACATAGTTGAAGAGAGATGTAAAATGTAAAATATGAGGCTCCAGAAGTGTTGAAGTGAAGCTTGTCACCAGCGCCATGGCAATCCCTTCGTCTCAGCCAACCAGCACATAGAACAAAGCACAGCCGTGGAGACAGACTATATTCACTGTTTTGGCGCAGTGGGGGCCTGAGAATTTGAAAGACAAAGGACTCTCAGCAGAAGTCCCTGAAGAGAGACCCGCTCTGGGAAGACAATGGTCTGTACCTGTAACATGGGTGTTGTGTTCTGTCCCATCTAGATTCACTGAGAACACGTATTTGAGATAAAATGAGTCTGCTCTACAACCTTAGCTAACAGCCTGTTGGTTTTTAGCTCATGCAGTAGAGACTCATGCACTAAGCTCCAGAGATCCCAGGTTTGATCCCAATGACCGGGGTCTATCAGCGTTATATACCTACAAAGAAAGAGGAGAGGGGACAAGAGCTCCCTTTCACCCTGGAGGTGGTTGAAATAATTTGTCTCAGGAACAGGAGATCACAGCCAAGCCTGGAGTAAAACCCTGGAAGGACTGTGGGGTGAGCATTGCTCTACCAGACGGAAAAGTATCTCGTTCAATGAGTCTAGGCTGTAGTCAGCGTGGTATGATTTTATTGGCCATGGAACCATTTCTTTCCAACCCTTCTCCTTGCTACCCCTCGAATCACTACACTCAGTGAAATCACTTGTCCGTGTTGTCACTATGAAGGGCTCTAGGGCTGTGCATTGATCGGGGCAGAGATGGGAGGTGGAGCTGGTCAGCTGTGGGCCCTGTTCCTTTGGGAGCAGCAGATCTGTGACTGCTGTGAATGCCCAGTGGGACAGGGGCTGGGCGCTGCTGGAGGCTGGAGTTTGCCAATCGTAAACCTGGAGAGAGACCACCCCACAAGACCTAGAGGGCATGGCTTGTGGCCGAGGGAATCAGGAAGCTTCCCCCCAGCAGGCACAGACAAGGCTTCCTCATGCCAGGGGCCCTTGGCACCACATTGAGCCCGTGCCCCATTCCCTACAGCACAGGCCCATAGAACCGCACAAGGGGATTAGGGTCAGCACAGACTGTGAGAGGAGAGCGCCCCTTACTTAAACCGCCATATTGCTCCCTGAAGTTCAGGCCCCAAAGCACCATGGTGGGGTCAGCACTGGCTGTGAGGGGACAACACCCAATAATAACACCCACCCTTCTCCCTGCAACATGCACAGTGGTGGAAGAAGTTTACCTGAGCACACAACACCGGCATCTTCTCCGTGGTCACAGTTATTGTCTCCCCAAGGCCGAGCCCTGCAATCGGAGAGGGTAGCTTCTGTCCCTGTGCAGTTAACGTCATCCAGCCAGATACGCTCTGACCCTTGCCCAAATCGAGCCCCTCTTGGGGCTGATAATGCTGGCCCACAGCCCAGCTGCCTGCACACGACTTCAGCATTAGTTATGTCCCAGATGTCATCACACACAGTTCCCCACTGCTGGTTGTGAAGCACCTCGACTGTCCCAGCGCAGCGACTTAGGCCATACACCAGTCGGAGCTGAGCCACTTCTGAAATGCCAGAATCTGCAAAGCCCAAAGGGAATAAACACTCAGGGAGGTTCCTGTGCATCTGATGACTAGTGATGCTGGGGGATGTAGTCCCTCCCAATGACGGGTCTGAATAACCTCTGCAACTGCCCATTAGGGGTTCACTCCCCACTAGGGCTGTCAATTAATCACAGTTAACTCGGTCTCAGAGCAGCTGATCAATCTGGAGTCCGGTGGCACCTTAAAGACGAACAGATTTATTTGGTTATGCCCATAAATTTGTTATGCCCAAATAAATCTGTTAGTCTTTAACGTGCCACCGGACTCCTTGTTGTTTTTGTGGATACAGACTAAAACAGCTACCCCCTGATACTTGATCAATCTGGGTGCGGGGTCACATGTCCCCCATCCCCACCTTCGAGCTGCTGCTTAGTTTATATCTAGCATGTTCATTCGGCCCTCCCACTATCGGCAGTTATGGATTGTCTCTGGTGATGGGCCTGTGTTTCTCCAGCAGTGAGGAGGTAAGTGAGCGTCAACACCAGAAACAGATAGGCTAGAGGAGGTTTGAGGAAAATGTCATTCTCAGAAAGTGCGGAATACCTGAAACATTTTATTTCAAACTAGGGCTGTCGATTAATCGCAATTAACTCATGCGATCAACACAAAAAATCAATCACAATTAAAAAATTAATTGCCATTTTAATCGCACTGTTAAACAATAAAATTCCAATTGAAATGTATTAAATATATTGGATGTTTTTCTAAGTTTTCAAGCATATTGATTTCAATTACAACACAGAATACAAAGCGTACTGTGCTCACTTATTATTATTTTGGATTACAAATATTTGCACTCTTAACATGATAAACAAAAGAAATCATATTTTTCAATTCACTTCATAAAAGTACTGTAGTGCAATCTCTTTCTCGTGTAAGTGCAAAATACAAATGTAAATTTTTTTTGTTGCATAACTGCAGGGCCGGCTCTGGCTTTTTTGCCGCCCCAGGCAAAAAAGCCTCTGGCCGCCCCCCGCCCCCCCGCCGCGGGGGGGGGCGGCCGGGGGCCCGGCGGGGGGCTGGGCCCCCCCCCCCCCCCGGGCGGCCGGGGCGCCCGGGGCAGGGCCGCGAGCCCCAGCGGGGGCTCGGCTCTCCCCCCCCCCCGGCGGCTAGAGCGCCGGGGGCAGGGCGGCGAGCCCGGCTGTGGCCCCGCTCTCCCCGGCGGCCGGAGCGCCGCGCCGCCCCCCTCCAGGTGCCGCCCCAAGCACCAGCTTGGGTGCCTGGTGCCTGGAGCCGGCCCTGCATAACTGTAAAACTTAGAGCCTATGTGTCCACTCGCTCCTTCTTCTTGTTCAGCCAATCGCTCAGACAAACAAGTTTTTTTACATATATGGGAGATAATGCTGCCTGCTTCTTATTTGCAATGTCACCAGAAAGTTAGAACAGGCATTGGCATGGCACTTTTGTAGCTGGCATTGGAAGTCATTTACATGCTGGATATGCTAATCATTCATACGCTCCTTCATGCTTCGGCGACTATTCAAGACGACATGCATCCATGGTGATGACGCTCGTTAAATAAATAATGCGTTAATTTAATTTGTGACTGAAATCCTTGAGGGAGAATTGTGTATCTCCTGCTATGTATTTTACCTGCATTCCGCAATATATTTCATATTATACCAATCTCGCATAATGACAGTACATGTTGTTCGTTTTAAGAACACTGTCACTACAGATGTAACAAAACACAAAGAAGGTCCCAATATGAGATTTCTAAAGCTAAATACAGCACTTGACCCAAGGTTTAAGAATCTAAAGTTCCTTCCAAAATCTGAGAGGGACAAAGTGTGGAGCAGACTTTCATTAGTCTTCAAAGAGCAACACTCCAATGCGGAAACTACAGAACCTGAACAACCAAAAAAGAAAATCAACTTTCTCCTGGTGACATCTGACTCAGAGGATGAAAATGAACATGTGTCCGTCTGCACTGTTTTGGATCGTTATCGAGCAGAACCCATCATGAGCATGGACACGTCCTCTGGAATGATGGCCGAAGCATGGGACATATGAATCTTTAGAGCATCTGACGCATAAATATTTTGCAACCCCAGCTACTACAGTGCCATGTGAACGCCTGTTCTCACTGTCAGATAACATCGTATACAAGAAGCAGGCAGTAATATCTCGTGCAAATGTGAACAAACGTCTCTGTCTGAGTGATTGGCTTAACAAGCAGTAGGACTGAGTGGACTTCTAGACTCTAAAGATTTACATTGTTTTATTTTTGATTGCAGTTATTTTTTGTACACAATTCTACATTTGTAAGTTCAACTTTCAGGATAAAGAGCTGGCACGACAGTACTTGTATGAGGTGAATTGAAAATACTATTTCTTTTGTTTCTATTTCACTGTGCAAATATTTGTACTAAAAATATATATATATAAAGTGAGCACTGTACGCTTTGTATTGTGTATTGTAATTGAATTCAATATATTTGAAAATGGAGAAAACATCCCCCCCAAATTAAAATAAATGGTATTCTATTATTGTGCAAAGGCGCAATTAATTGCACGATTAATCACAATATTTTTTTTAGTCACTTAACACCCCTACTCCCCACCACTGACATGCAGCTACTTCTGGGGTGGAACAGGGCAGCGGAGAGATCAGGCACAGAAACTCCTGGGCTATGTAGGAGAGGGAGTGAGGAAGAACCCAGCCTCCAGTCACAGCAGTGGGCGATATTACAGGTTCAGAGGTAGTTAGCTGAGATGGAAATCACCCGGAGTGGCAGGGGTAGGAAAAACACATATAGGGACCCCTGAGCATCTGAAGCCTACATTTGACCCCAAATCCCATGAATGGGATCTACGGTTACCCAGTGCCCCATTGTGCTGTAGAGTGGCAGAGGGATCAGAGCTATCAGCAAAGGGGAGGGTCTCTCACAGAGGCACACGTATTGCTCACTGCAGCACATGCCCTAAGTGCTGTGCTGGGGCACTGGGCTCAGCACTGACTGAGGGAAGAGCACCCCCTATTGAGCCCCCATCCCGCTCCCTGCAGCACAGGCATGTAGAACTGTGTGGGGAAAATGGGGTCATCATTGAAACCATGGGAAGAGCGACACTTACTGTGAACCCCAACAGATAGCCTGCACTACAGGCCCTTAGCACCATGCTGCGGCACTGGGGTCAGGGCTGACTCAGACAGGAGAGCTGGATCTATGCTGAAAGCTTCCCAGCCCGATCCCTGCACCACCCACAGTGACGTGATGGACGAGGGTTACCTGAGCACTCGACACCAGCATCTTCTCCGTGGGTACAGTTATTTTCTCCCCAAGGCCGAGCCCTGCAATCTGAGAGGGCAACTTCTGTCCCTGTGCAGTTGACATTATTCAACCAAATATGGTCAGATCCTTGCCCAAAATGAGCCCTTTGTGGGGCTGATAATGCCGTCCCACAGCCCAGGTGCCTGCACACGACTCCAGCATCCTGTAAGTCCCAGCTGTCATCACACACGGTTCCCCACTTCTGGTTGTGAAACACCTCGACCCTCCCAGCGCAGCGACTTGGACCATTCACCAGTCGGAGCTGAGCCACTTCCGAGATGCCAGCGTCTGCAAACACCCAAGGGAATAAACACTCAGGGAGGTTCGTGTGCATCTCATCTCTTGTGTCGCTGGGGAATGTAGCACCTCCTGCTGACAGGTCTCTGCACACAGCGACTGCCTGTCAAGGGCTCCCTACCACTGACCAGGCTAATCACTTGGGTAATTTTGAAGTTTGTCTACCCCTCTCCCAGCCAGCTCTCACCTAGTTAGGCAGACTGGACGGCAGTCTGACCTACTGCTCCCACTAGAGCACTTAATGAAATAGATCACCCCCTGCACTGCTGGCAGGAACCTCCCGGGGAGCAGATTTACACCCTCACTCCGGGCGCTGATATTCGCTCTAGTGCGATACTGTGCAGTGCTGCGGGGAAGACACTGGCATAAGCATCTTGGTGATTGGGAGCTGAACACAGTCACCCGTGTCATTGGTGGTTGCCTTAGCCTGACATCAGCATTGAATTTACATGTCTTGGCTCCATAGCTCCCTGAAAACCTCACCCAGAGTCCATCCCCCTTAGAACTGCCTGGAGCACAGGGACGCCTGGCAGGAACCTGCTGCGCACTAGGCTGACAATAGTTCCGACCAGTGCAGAGGCAATGCACACTTCCTACAAGCAGGTCGGCCCCCTCCTGAAGCAAACACCTCCCCTGCGGTTCCTGCTGACTTGCCACGACTGACTTGGTAACATCGTTTTGTGGCAGCCATTGCTGCACTTGTGTCTAGTGCTGCCAGCCCAGATGAATGATGGCAGAGCTTAGCTGACAGCTGTGTCCTCACAGAGGGGCAGCAGCTCTGGGATGGAGAGACTGGCGTACTGATGAATATCAGAAGCCCTAACTTCTATCTCCCTATTTGCAACCTGGGATGCAGATCCTGGACTAGGCTTAATGGGCCCCTGACTGGACTGGCCAGAGGGACTGCTGCAATGCAGAGATTTGGCTTAGACCGATCTTCTCACTGTGCCTGTGGGGCAGCAATACAGACAGTGACACGTGGTGAAGGAGAGCCATTTCCCAACGTACCCTGGGATAGGCGTTTTGCTCGTGGTTTTACCTGTTTCCGGCATTAGTCATTAGGGCCAGCACAACTACAAATGGAGAGAGCCCCTGAGGCGGGACAGTCACCTCGCTCCAGCCCTGAAAGGGTTAAAAGCCAGCCCTTGGGGAAGGGTGGGGCTGAGAGCCAATGAGTATAGGCTGATTGGGAAGGCAGCCACAGCTGGGGCCACGCCCAATTAGGAGACAGCTGGCCCTATAAAAGGGCTCCCTCCAGCTTTGGAGAGAGAAGGACTGGTAGCTCAGGGAACAGAACAGAACAGAACAGAGCTGGGGAAAAGCAAGAGGAGCTGGGGCGCTCCAACCTGGCAAACCCCAGGCTGCGGGCCTGTTTAAAGACCAAAACAGGTGCTGGGGTTGCAGAGGCTGCAGCCCGGGGTGAGGCAGAGGCAACTGGTCCAAACCCTTTGCCAATGATGAGTGCCCTTTTACAGACTGCGGTTTGCCCCAGTGAGCGGGGGCTAGATGATGACTGGCAGTAGCCACTGAGGCAAGGTGGGTGTAAAGGGTGGGGGTTCCCCGGGAGGGAGACCCAGTGTGTGGGGGTACTGCAGTGGGTAGAACCCCAGGGTACGGGGCACCGGGGTCAGGGAGAGACACAGGGGCCTGAGGCAAGCGAGATATAAACCAGCAGAGGGCGCTCTGGAGGCTGAAGAGCTAATTCCCAAGATGACCAGTAGGAGGCACTGCACCGGGGAGTCTAGCTTCAATAGAGCCCCTACTGTCACCCCCCTACCTGCAGCACAGCCCCCTAGCACCGCAGTAGAGCACTGGAGCCAGCACTGACTTACTGGGGAGAGTGTGAGTATCGCCTACTGAGCCCCCACACTGCTCCCTGCAGCACAGGCCCAAAGAACCGCACCGGGGAATTAGGGTCAGCACAGACTGAGAGGAGAGTGCTCCCTACTGGAACCGCCATATTGCTCCCTGAAGCACAGGCCCCAAGCACCATGCTGGGGTCAGCTCTGGCTGTGATGGGACAATGCCCCGTAATGAGCTTCCCACCCTGCTCCCTGCAACATGCAGGGTCGTAGATGAAGGTTACCTGCGCACACAACACCGGCATCTTCTCCGTGGTTACAGTTATTCTCTCCCAAAGGCCGAGCCCTGCATTGGGAGAGGACAGCTTCTGTCCCTGCACAGTTGACATCATCCAGCCAGATAGGGTCTGATCCTCGCCCAAATCGAGCTCCCCCAGGGGCTGATAACGCCGTCCCACAGTCCAGCTGCCTGCACACAACTCCAGCATGAATAATGTTCCAGCCGTCATGACACACGGTTCCCCACTGCTGGTTGAGAAGCACCTCAACTCTCCCAGCGCAGCGACTCGGGCCATTCACCAGTCGGAGTGGAGCCACTTTCGAGGAGCCTGAGTGAGCAAACACCCCAAGGGAATAAACACTCAGGGAGGTTTCTGTGCATCTGATCACTAGTGATTCTGGGGAACATAGCGCCTTCAACTGACGGGTCTGAACAGCCTCTGCAACAGCCTGTTAGGGGTTCACTCCCTGTCAATTTATAACAGTTAACTCATGCGATTAACTCAAAAAATTAATCATGATTAAAAAAAATTAATCACTATTAATCTCAGTTTTAATCACACTGTTAAACAATAGAATACCAATTGAAATATATTAAATATTTTGGATGTTTTTCTATGTTTTAAAATATATTGATTTCAATTACAACACAGAATACAATGTGTACAGTTCTCCCTTTATATTATTACAGTTAAGGTTGTTTTATTAACATTAAATGCTGATTAACTAAGAGGGAGAGAGTTTGGGTGCGGGAGGGAGTGCTGGGCTGGGGGTTGGGATGCGAGACGGGGTGTGTATCACGGGCTCTGGGAGGACATTTGGGTGCTGGAGAGAGCTCGGGGCAGGCAGTTGGGGCACGAATTGGAGTGCAGGGTGCCAGATCCAGGGGCCACTCACCTCGGGTGGCTCCCCGGAAGCGGCAACTTGTTCCAGCTGCTCCCAGGTGGAGACGCAGCAGGGGGCTTGGCGCACTCCCTCCGCCCGCAGGCACTGCCCCCGCAGCTCCCATTGGCCATGGTTCCCAGCCAATGGGAACTGTGCAGCTGGCACTGGGCGGGGGCAGCACGCAGAGCCGCCTGACACGCCACCGCTTAGGAGTAGCCAGAGCCCGGGAGAGGTCACCACTTCTGGTGAGCCATCCGAGGTGAGTGGCCCCCGGATCCAACACCCTGCACCCCCTCCTGAGTGGCCCCCGGATCCAACACCCTGCACCCCCTCCTGGGTACTAAGCCCCCTCCCACAGCCCTTGCTCTGCACCCTCTCCTGCGCCCCAACCTCCTGCCAACCCCGCGCCAACCAGACTATAAACCAACATTTCAATGAAGATCAGAAATGCTGATTTATAGAGCTTTCTAGTTGGTGAAGTGTCGGATAAAACAGCTTTTACTTTATTTTGGATTACAAATATTAGCACTTTAAAATGATAAAAGAAATAGTATTTTTCAGTTCACCTCATACATGTACTGTAGTGCAATCTCCTTATTGTGAAAGTGAAATATTACAAATGTAGATTATATTATTTTTGTTACATAACTGCACACTTACTTGTTGTTCAGCCAATCGCTCAGACAAACAAGTTTGTTTACATTTATGGGAGATAATGCTGCCTGCTTCTTATTTGCAACATGACCCGAAAGTGAGAAGAGGCGTTCACCTGGCATTTTTGCAGGTGGCATTGCAAGATATTTACGTGCCACATATGCTAACTATTCATATGCCCCTTCACGCTTCGGCCACCATTCCAGATGACATGCTTCCATGCTGATGAAGCATGTTGGTGAAGCACTGGAATGGGTTACCTAGGGAGGTGGTGGAATCTCCATCCATAGAGGTTTTTAAGGCCCGGCTTGACAAAGCCTTGGCTGGGATGATTTAGTTGGTGTTGGTCCTGCTTTGAGCAGGGGATTGGACTACATGACCTCCTGAGGTCTCTTCCAACCCTAATATTCTATGATTCTACGATGCTCATTAAAAAAGTAATGTGTTAATTTAATTTGTAACTGAAATCCTTGTGGGGAAAATTGTGTATCTCCTGCTATGTATTTTACCTGTCTTCTGCCATATCTTTCATGTTACAGTAGTCTCAGATGATTAACCAGCACATATTGTTCGTTTTAAGACTTTCACTGCAGTTTTGACAAAATACAAAGAAGGTACCAATGAGAGATTTCTAAACCTAGCTACAGCACTCGACCCAAGGCTTAAGAATCTGAAGTGCCCTCCAAAATCTGAGAGGGACGAGGTGTGGAGCAGGCTTTCAGAAGTCTTAAAAGAGCAACATTCCAATGCAGAAACTACAGAACCTGAACCACCAAAAGGGAAAATCAACCTTCTGCTGGTGGCATCTGATTCAGATGATGAAAATGAATATTTGTCAGTCTGCACTACTTTGGATTGTTATTGAGCAGAACCCATCATCGGCATGGGCACATGTCCTCTGGAAAAGTGGCCAAAGCATGAAGGGACATATGAATTTTTTAGCGGATCTGGCACGTAAATATTTTGCAACACCGGCTACAACAGTGCCATGTGAATGCCTGTTCTCACTTTCAGGTAACATTATAACAAGAATTGTCTGAGCGACTGGCTGAATGAGATGTAGGACTGAATGGACTTGTAGGATCTAAAATTTTACATTGTTTTATTTTTGATTGCAGTTATTATTTGTAAATAATTCTACGTTTGTAAGTTCAATTTCTCTGATAAAGAGCTGGCACTACAGTACTTATATGAGGTGAATTGAAAATACTATTTCTTTTGTTTCTATTTCACTGTGCAAATATTTGTACTAAAAATAAATATAAAGTGAGCACCGTACGCTTTGTATTGTGTATTGTAATTGAAATCAAAGTAGAAAATGTAGAAAACATCCAAACAATTTGAAATAAACGGTTTTCTGTTGTGTAATGGAGCAATTAATTGCACGATTAACCACGATTAATCATGATTAATGATTAATCTCACAATTAATCACAATTAGTTTTTTAATAACTTGACAGCCCTGCTCCCCACTACTACCATGCAACCACCTATGGGTTGGAACAGGGTAGATGAGAGACAGGGCACAGAAACTCATGGGCTGTGTAGGAGAGGAAGTGAGGAAGAACCCTGTCTCCAGTCACAGCAGTGGGGCATATTACAGGTTCAGGGGTAATTAGCTGAGATGTAAATCACCCGGAGTGATGGAGATAGGAACCCCACACTCCATAAAGGGATCCCTGAGTGGCTGCAGGATTCATTCAACCCCAAATCCCAGAAATGGGATTTACGGTTACCCAGCGCCCCATTGTGCTGTAGCAGGGCAGGGGGCTCACAGCTATCAGCAACGGGGAAGGTCTCTCACAGAGGAACACGTACTGCTCCCTGCAGCGCAGGCCCTAAGTGGTGTGCTGGGGGCACTGGGACCAGCACTGACTTTGAGGGAATAATGCCCCCTAATGAGCCCCCATCCTGCTCTCTGCAGCACAGGCATGAAGAACTGTGTGGGGAAAATTGGGTGAGCACTGACACCATGGGAAGAGTGACACTTACTGTGACCCTGAACCAGCTCCCTGCAGTACAGGCCCTTAGCACTATGCTGGGGCACTGGGGTCAGCGCTGACTCAGACAGGAGAGCTGAGTCTGTGCTGAAAGCTTTCCAACCCGATCCCTGCAGCACTAACAGTGATGTGATGGATGAAGGTTACCTGAGCAGTCGACACCGGCATCTTCTCCGTGGGTACAGTTATTGTCTCCCCAAGGCCGAGCCCTGCAATCAGAGAGGGCAACTTCTGTCCCTGTGCAGTTGACATTATCCAGCCATATATGGTCAGATCCTCGCCCAAATCGAGCCCCTCGTGGGGCTGATAACGCCATCCCACAGCCCAGCTGCCTGCATATGACTCCAGCATCCTGTAAGTCCCAGCTGTTATCACACACGGTTCCCCACTTCTTGTTATGAAACACCTCGACTCTCCCATTGCAGCGACTCGAACCATTTACCAGTCGGAGCTGAGCCACTTCTGAGATGCCAGCGTCTGCAAACACCCAAGGGAATAAACACTCAGGGAGTTTCCTGTGCATCTGATCTCTCCTGTCACTGGGGAATGTAGCACCTCCTGCTGATTTGTCTGACCGGTCTCTGAACACAGTGACTGCCTGTCAATGGCTCACCACCACTGAGCAGGCTAATCACTTGGGCAATGTTGAAGTTTGTTCACTCCCCTCCCAGCCAGCTGTCACCTAGTTAGTCAACACTCTTCAAAGCTAGAGCTAAATAAGGCTCTATTTTCAGAGTAGCAGCTGTGTTACTCTGTATCCGCAAAAAGAACAGGAGTACTTGTGGCACCTTAGAGACTAACAAATTTATCAATTTAAATTGTTAGTCTCTAAGGTGCCACAAGTACTCCTGTTCTTTTTAAGGCTCTATTAGGAGTCTTTTTGTTTTCAGTGATCACTAGAGCTGAAATCACCTGCTGTGAGACAGTGTTTCTGCCCAGCTTTCTTCAGCACTGAGGTTTCCCCACTAAAAGCTGGTCTACACTACAGGGTTAGGTCGAATTTAGCTGCATTAGGTCTATTTTATAATGAATGCATCTACACAAGCAACCCCATTCCGTCGACCTAAAGGGCTCTTAAAATTGACTTCTGTACTCCTTTCCGGCGAGGGGAGTAGTGCTAAAATCGACCTTGCTGGGTTGAATTTGGGGTAGTGCGGATACAAATCAACATTATTGGCCTCTGGGAGCTATCCCAGAGTGCTCCAATGTGACCGCTCTGGACAGTACTTTCAACTCCAATGCACTAGCCAGGTACACAGGAAAAGTCCCAGGAACTTTTGAATTTCATTTCCTATTTGGTCAGCATGGCGAGCTCAGCAGCACAGGTGACCATGCAGTCCCCCCAGAATCGCAAACGAGCTCCAGCATGGAGCGAACGGGAGACACTGGATCTGATTGCTGTATGGGGAGAAGAAATGCTAATATATATGACAAAATCGCACAGGGTATGATGGACAGAGGCTACAACAGGGACACACAGCAGTGCCGTGTGAAAGTTAAGGAGCTCAGGCAAGCATACCAAAAGACAAAGGAGGCAAACGGTCGCTCTGGGTCAGAGCCCCATACATGCTGCTTCTATGATCAGCTGCATGGCATTCTGGGGGGGACCCTACCACTACTCCACCGTTGTCCGTGGACACCTGAAAGGGGGGAGTCTCACGCAACATGGAGGAGGATTTTGTGGATGAGGAAGAGGAGGAGGAGGAGAATGTGCAGCAGGCAAGCTGTGAATCTGTTCTCCCCGGTAGCCAGGACCTTTTCATCATCCTGGAGCCAATACCTTCCCAAGGCGGGATCCCCGACCCTATAGGCGGAGAAAGCACCTCTGGTGAGTGCACACTTGTAACTACACTACAGGGTTTAAAAGCAATTGTGCTTAATGTTTGATTTGCCCTGAAGACTTGGGATGCATCCGCGGCCAGTACAGCTACTGGAAAAGTCTGTTAACGTGTCTGGGGATGGAGCGGGAATCTTCCAGGGATATCTCCATGAAGCTCTTCTGGAGGTACTCTGAAAGCCTTTGCAGAAGGTTTCTGGGGAGGGCTGCCTTATTTCATCCTCCATGGAAGGACACTTTACCACGCCAAGCCAGTAGCAAGTAGTCTGCAATCATTGCAGCACAAAGCATGGCAGTGAATGGTCCTGGGTTTTGGTCACATTCAAGCAACATTTGGTCTATATCTTTCTGTTAGCCTCAGGAGAGTGATATCATTCATGGTCACCTGGTTGAAATAGGGGAATTTTTGTAAGGGAATAGTAAAAGGACCCCATTCATGCTGGGCTGCTTGCACTTGGCTGAAAGGGATCATCCCTGAGAATAGCCACGCGGCGGGGGGAAGGGATCATCCCAAATAGCCACGCGGAAGGGTGCGGGGAGGTGTGTGCTGCAATTCCACCCGAAAACCGAAGCCCCTGCTTTTAAATGGCAAACCCAACCGGTATTGCTTGCTATGGGAAAGGAGGGCGCTGCAGTTTGAAAATATTCCCACATGTTATGAAGGCATTAGAAGCCAAACCCGCGTACCCTTTGGTTTACCATGGCTGCCTGGAAACCAAATTCTGTTGCCCAGCCATGTGTGATGTGTCACCATACTGGCAGGCGCTCAATATAAAAGGCAAAATGTGACCTTGTACCTAAAGCACATGTGCTGTCTGCTGTGAATTGCTTGATTCACTGTGAAAAAGTCTCCCTTTTGTTCTCAGAAATGTATCATCTTAAATTTTACTCTCCTTTTTATCCAACCGCAGGTGCAAATGTTTCTATGCTCCCCCATCATCTCTGTCCCTGAGGTTATCGCAGACTAGAAGGAAAAAGAACGTGCTCGCGATGACATGTTTTCCGAGCTCATGCAGTCCTCCCGCACTGATAGGGCACAGCTGAATGCATGGAGGCATTCAGTGGTAGAGTCCAGGAGAGCTTTAAGTGAGCGTGATGAGAAGAGGCAGGATGCAATGCTGAGGCTAATGGGGGAGCAAACGGACATGCTCAGGTGTCTGGTGGAGCTGGAGGAAAGCCAACAAGAGTGCAGACTGCTGCTGCATCCACTGTACAACCACCTACCCTCCTCCCCAAGTTCCATATCCTCCTCACCCAAACGCCCAAGAACGCGGGGTGGGGGGAGGCTCTGGGCACCCAGCCACTCCACTCCAGAGGATGGCCCAAGCAACAGAAGGCTGTCATTCAAACAGTTTTGATATGTAGTGTGGCTAAAATAAGCCATGTAGCCTTGTCCTTCCCTCCACCCCTCCTCCCTTACCCCACCCTACTCCACCCGGGCTACCTTACAAGTTATCTCCCTTTTTTTAATTAATAAAGAAAGAATGAATGGTTTAAAAACAATAGTGACTTTATTTCCTTTGCCAGCTGTGATCGAAGGGGGGAGGGTGGTTGGCTTACAGGGAATTAAAATCAACAAAGGGGGCAGGTTTGCATCAAGGAGAAACACACACAACTGTCACACTGTAGTCTAGCCAGTCATGAAACTGGTCTTCAAAGCCTCCCTGATGCACAGCGCGCCTACCTGTGCTCTTCTAATTGCCCTGGTGTCTGGCTGTTCAAAACTGGCAGCCAGGCGATTTGCCTCAACTTCCCACCCTGCCATAAACATCTCCCCCTTACTCTCACAGATATTATGGAGCACACAGCAAGCAGTAATAACAATGGAAATATTGGTTGCGCTGAGGTCTAACCTAGTCAGCAAACAGCGCCAGCGAGCTTTTAAACGTCCAAAGGCACATTCTACCACCATTCTGCAATTGCTCAGCCTATAGTCGAACTGCTCCTTACTACTGTCCAGGCTGCCTGTGTATGGCTTCATGAGCCATGGGAGCCAGGGGTAGGCTGGGTCTCCAAGGATAACTACTGGCATTTCAAAATCCCCAACAGAAATTTTCTGGTCTGGGAAGTAAGTCCCTTCTTGCAGCTGCTCAAACAGCCCAGAGTTCCTAAAGATGCGAGCGTCATGCACCTTTCCCGCCATCCGTCATTGATGTCGGTGAAATGTCCCTTGTGATCCACCAGTGCTTGCAGCACCATTGAGAAGTACCCCTTGCGGTTTATGTACTGGTTGGCAAGGTGGTCTGGTACCAAGATAGAGATATGCGTTCCATCTATCGCCCCACCACAGTTAGGGAAACCCATTGCAGCTAAGCCATCCACTATGACCTGCATATTTCCCAGAGTCACTACCCTTGATAACAGACTGTCAGTGATTGCATTGAATCACAGGAGTCCCCACAATAGATTTGCCAACTCCAAATTGATTCCCGACTGACCAGAAGCAGTCAGGCATTGCAAGCTTCCACAGGGCTATCACCACTCGCTTCTCAACTGTCAGAGCAGCTCTCATCTTGGTATTCCTGTGCTTCAGGGCAGGGGAAAGCAACTCACAGAGTTCCAGAAAAGTGGCCTTATGCATGCAAAAGTTTCGCAGCCACTGGGAATCATCCCATACCTGCAACACGATGCAGTCCCACCAGTCTGTGCTCGTTTGCCGGGCCCAGAATCAGCGTTCCACTGTATCAACCAGCCCCATTGCCGCCATGATGTCCCAATTGCCACATCCCGTGCTTTCAGGAACGACTGTGTCCATTCCATATCCTCCTCACAATCGTCCTAGTGCTGTCATCTCTTAGCCAGGTTCTGCACATACTGCAGTATACTGCACATGGTGTTTACAATGCTCGCAACAACAGTGGTGAGCTGAGCGGACTCCATGCTTGCCAAGCTATGGTGTCTGCATCGGTAACCGAGGAAAAAAGGCGCAAAATAATTGTCTGCAGTTGCTTTCACAGAGGGAGGGGAGACTGACAACATGTACACAAAACCACCCGCAACAATGTTTTTCCCCCTTCAGGCATTGAGAAGTTAACCCAGAATTCCAATGGGCAGTGGAGACTGCGGGAATTGCGGGATAGCTTCCCACAGTGCACCGCTCCGTGAGTTCATGCTAGCCACAGTAGTGAGACGCACTCCACCAACTTAATGCGCTTAGTGGGGACATACACAATCGACTGTATAAAATTGATTTCTAAAAATCGACTTCTATCAAATCGACCTATTTTCATAGTGTAGACATAGGCTAAGAGCTGACAGTCACTGAGAGCTGGGTGGAGACTCAAGAGAGCGACCTGCAGAGGTCACAGTAGAGAGGCCGGGGGCAGCAGAAGGTGAGGACGAGCAGAGTGGTGAGTGGCTGGCAGGGCAGCTGCCACCAGAGCAAGCACCCAGACAGCAGAGCGAGCCAGGTGCTCTCCTCCCTGCCCTCATGGTGGGAGCTGAACTCACACAGGTGTACCTCTAAACTCTGTGTCTTCACTAACCAAGGATAACCACTGTGAGTGGGGTGCAGTGGAGTGAGAAGGGAGGGGCACGTTAAAAGAACTTTGGGTTGCTGGACTCAAGATCCTGAGGCAAAAGACACTGGGGTAGGTGTTTTGCTCATGGTTTTATCTGTTTCCGGCGTTTTCTAAAGTTA